AGGGTTATCACTACACCTGGCACCACCGATGGAAGAAATGAAGCAACTGTCCCCGTGCCACCAAGGAAGGCCACGACCTGGGACAGGCCGAGGAGGAGCTAAGAAGGGGCAGCCAGGGATTTGAACCCATGCCTGGAACTTCCTCATTTCGACCCTGATCAAGTCTCTGACATCAAAACATAAAGGTGGGGGGCTCTGATTGTCGTGGATCTCCAAGGGCTGTCAAGAGCACGCTAATCTCATGAGTGACGCTGAGGCCACGGCGTCCAGCTGTGCTGTCGGGCGTGCGAACTCCTCGTCTACACAGGGAAGGGGATGCACCCACCGCGCTCTCCCCTCCCCTGGTCCCCACACGCACACCCGTTTAGCCCCGTGACACTTAAGAATAAAGCACACACGCTTAGTCCGGGGCGTGAGCAGAGAGCAGAACGATGGGGTTTGGAGGGCAAGGCCACGGACTGCATCGGCCGCTGCAGGTCACCGCTGCCGCGCCTCGGAAGGAAGCTGGCATCACCGAGCATTGCAGCTCACCTTTGCTCCGAAGGCTACAGGTCTTCTTGGGAGACTACACACAGGGCGTGCAGCGCACCCACCTTACACGCTTAGGACTAAATCCCCGCCGGTTGCAAGGACTCAGGAGATGAACGTGCACAGGAGAAAGCGCCTGGGAAGGATTAGGCGCTTTCAGAACACCCTGCCCTCTACCATTGGGAGGAGGGACGCATGCAGCCCTTGTGCCTTTTCCACCTTTGCTAGGCTCTCCAGGCAGCTGGCCCGGCGGGTGCTGAGCACAAAGCGGCTTTCATCCTTGGGTCACCCGGCCAGACCCACCATGGACTCGGTCCAGTGCAATCAATGCTGGCGGAGCTCGCAGACCCGCTCACGTGGAGGACGAATCGAGGTCTCCTCGCTTACATCACTCACTCGGACCCTTCGGGTACCAGCAGTTCCTCTGCAGCCCGGGGTGGGGTGTGTGTGTGTGTATCAGGCTCTGCAACAGACCGCAGGACCTGGCTAGAGCACGCACCTGTTTTACAATCTGAGCGCTGCAGGCTTCCTTCTCTGCCCTGAGGGGGACAGTAGCAAACTAGGTGTGCTATCTTATGAACAAATGCCCAGGATTCACCCGGCATTTGTTGATGATACATAGTAGATCATCGGGGATCCCTGGGTGGCTCAGCGGTTTAGTGCCTGCCTTCGGCTCAGGGCATGATCCTGGAGACCCGGGATCGAGTCCCACATCGGGGACTCCCTGCATGGAGCCTGCTTCTCCCTCTGCCTCTCTCTCTCTGTGTCTCTCATGAATAAATAAATAAAAATTAAAAAAAAAAGATAATAGATCATCAACTATTATCACAGAAAGCAGGGACAATGCAGCCAGGACAGCTGGGCCATTTGTCTTCTAACAATTAGCATCTAATGAGGCCTCGTCTGTGTGCATTACAAAACTAAATTCTAGACACAGATGATTGCCTTAGATCCTAATACCTGGAGTTAGGTCCCACTTTACCCCAATTTCACAGGTGAGGAAACCACAGGGGCTTAGAGAAGTTCAGCAGCTGGTCCAAGGGCAGAGAGCTAAGAAGGGGCAGCCAGGGATTTGAACCCCGCTGAGCTGCTTTTGGTGGAAATTTGACGCAGGTTCTAGAATGTTCAATTAGCATGATAATTGTAGAGAAGATAAAACAACCAAGGCTTAGAACAGTGCCTCCCTCACAGTAAGTAACCGACATTGACATTTCCGTCATCCACAGCACCAAAGGCAATGTTGCTCAGTCAACCTAACGTTAAGGAAACAAATATTATTTACCTTTTTTTGGTGAAGGACACAGTCACAGAATATATACACAGATATCTACTATCTGCTGGGTGCGGACAGTCTAAAACCATCACTGAAGCAAATACACAATTGTTTCCAAGTATTGGGGGTAGTGGGAATAAATAACACTATTCTACCCAAACAACATAATAAAAAAAAGTTAAAAAAATTTAAAAACCTCAAGTAGATATAATTATAGATAAATAAAGCCTTTGAAAATGATTTAAAATTTCATTTCAATGTCTAAAATTATAAATCCTCACACCATTTTAAGTTTTAATAAAGTTTAAAGTTTGGCACCTACAAAGTACTTTTATGCATAGCAGGTTTCCAACAAATCATTCTGGAATAAATGAGTGAATTCATGAATATGCTTTTAAAAACAGACAATATCCTTTCATTACGTTTAGGATTTTTTTTTTAATTCTATGATTCAAGTTGTGTGATATTTTCTTATTAATGATTTTTAAATCATTTCTTTAGTAATGATTTTTTAAATTTTTATTTTTAAAAAGGTTTTATTTTTATTTATTTGAGAGAGAGAGAGAGCGCGCGTGCAAGCGTGCAAGCACAAGAAGAGGGGAGAGGGGCACAAGCAGACTTCCCACTGAACAGGGAGCCCGATGCAGATGTAGGGTCTTGATCCCAGGACCTCGGGATCATGACCTGAGCCAAAGGCAGACACTTAACCGACTGGGCCACCCAGGCACCTCTAATTTTTTTTTTTAAGAGACTCTTAGGATCAATCTCTACTTCAAATAAAGGAAATAACTATCATCCCGAAAGACAAAAAGAAACAACTAAGTATCTGGCCAGAAATAATTAAAATAGTTAAGAACAGAGATGAAATTTTCAGATATGAGAGGTAAAAAGAAAAGCAGCTTCAAAACATCTTTATTTACATTTAAGAAAATATAAAACTGTTCTCTATGCAGCAAAATGAAAACACACGAAATAGATGTATACATTTAAGCCACGTGACTGGTGAAGAGTAAAGACATTCCCCAGTACCGTATATATAACTGAATAGATAAACTCAGACCAAGAAAATGTCTTTTCTCGAAAGTATTTCGGTGCCCTGGGTTACCGTGGGGACTCAGTAGTCTAACCACTGTGCACTCAAAAATAACTCTTCATTTTAAAAAAGGACTTCTAAAAACCTAATTATAAGCATAAGGATACAGATTACTGCAGTTATTTCTATACAGTAAAATGTTCGATTAAATCTACACTGATGAAACTGCTCAGTACACCTGTTATGTTTAAAGGAAAATAAAGGAGAGAGGGATATTGGAAAATTGTAAAGATTTCTAGTAACAGTCTCTACACCTTTGCAGCAGAGGCGAATCTGAGGTTCCCCACGTATTCCCCACGCATTAGGAAAATCAATAGCATTACCTGCGGGGTGCCTTGGGTTGCTTTTGCATAAGCTTTTATCTCAGTTTAGCAACATTAAAAAAAAAAAAGCACAGAAACACAAGATGTATATGACCTTGGCTCACCACTACCCGGACCTCCTTAATACAATCTGCTAAAAGAGTGAGAAAGGGTGGTGGTTCCCTTCCGCAAGCTTCGTCACATGGTGCTGCCAAACTGCAAAGCTAATGGGACAAATAAATAGGCTGACCCTATGTCATAGGTAAGAAAGACCCTTAAAATCAAAGATGGAGCTGCAGTACTTAAAGGGTCACGATTTTTTTTTAAAGGAAAAAAATGAGGTAGTAAAAAAATGAATAAATAGTAAAATATAATAGTAAGTAGTAAAAATTAATAAAAAACAGTAAAAAAAATAAATAATAATCGTAAAAAAATCCAAATCGAATGCAATCTGGGCTTTCTAAATCCAGCCTGCATTTGTACATCATGTCCATATTAAACAGCCCAGGGTTCAGCCTAGGACCTGCCAGAAAAAAATCTGCAGGGACTGAAGCCTGGTGTCTGACTCCATTTGTGACAAAGCATTTTTTTAAAAAAAAAAAACTATTGATGAGCACATGGCCTTTCCTGTGACCATGCAATCCTAAGCGAACATTTCAAAGGCCAGGCATTGGTCAGTAAAACTGAATCTCAGTGGCTCTCGTGGTTCCAACAACTTTTAGGAGCACAGGCACCTGACTCAATTTAAACATCGGAATGCAGATTTATGTATGTGAGATATGCATTTTACGCCTAAAATCATGAACGGTTTTTTTTTCAGACTTACAAAAAAAATGCACAACGAATATTATTTGGGACAAAACCTAGCAACCGGATCCGCCTATTGCTGTCAACTTTCTGGTCTTTCTGAGAGGCTAATCAACCTATGGAGTAGACGCAGGGCAAAGTGGAATAACCAACCTCCTGGCAGCCGCCACAGTCTCACTGGGACACAATGATCTACAAGGAAAAAGAAACCACGTGCTAATTATGCTCAAAAAAAAAAAAAAAAACAAAAAACAAAAAACAAGGTGCATATTTCCCAGAGTCTAATGCAACACTCTTATACTTTCCCACTTTTTTTCATGGACTGTTTTTTAAATGCATGCTTGCTCCCGAGGGGTAAAGTAGGGCAGGCTTGGTTAGGCTTGAAGGCTTGAAAGATCCCCAAAGCTAGATTTATGCAGGAGTCTCTCCTCTCCCAACACCTGTTACTAAAGTTCCTACACTTGTACTTAAGAAAAAAGCCAGACCGGGAGGAAGCTCCATCTGCTCCCCCTTCGGAGCTGGGCTTTACCCACCGAGCTGCTGGGGTCTCCGCCTCGCACTCTGCCCCCCTCAAGCCTTCCGAGAAGCACGCACATCCGTGCAAACCGACGATGCACCGAGCGCGGACCCACAGGTGCACCGACACCTGCACGCAGACCAGCGATCGCTCAAACCTCGGGCTTCCCTCCAAGCCCGCCTGCGCCCTGCACGTCCGGGTGCCTCCCCAGGTTCTCCCCACCCAGGAACCTGGAAGGAAGGGCCAGAAAGACAAAAACAGTCTGCACTAAAGGAAGAGAAAGGAAACACAAGCCCCGCCTCTCGGGGGGCTCCGCAGCCTCAGCCACGGGGCCCCGCTGCGCCCAGGTGCAGCCTGAACGGACGCCAGCCCGGACCCCAGCTAGGACGTCCTGCCATCCAGAGGCGTAAGCAGGGAACGGGGGTCCTCGTCACCAAGAAGGAGAATAGGAATAACGATTGTCACCACGGGGGTCCGTACAGCAGCGGCGCGCGGCGCGGACCTCTCCTCCAGCCCCCGCCGCCCGCAGCCTCGCCCCGCAGCACGACTCCGCCGCCGAGCCCGGCCCGGGATGCGCGCGCCCGCCGGCCCTCCGCGCGCACGCGCACGCGCCCCGCCCGGCCCCGCCCTCCCCGTGCTCTCTACCAGCGCAGGCCCCGCCCACCCAGATCGGCCCCGCCCCCCCGCCCGGCCCCGCCTCCCCTGGTCTCCCCTTGAGCTCCTGCCCCGCCCACCCCGCTCGGCCCCGCCTCCCCTGGTCTCCCCTTGAGCGCAAACCCCTACCACCCCGCTCGGCCCCGCCCTCCCCTGCTCGGCCCCGCCTCCCCTGGTCTCCCCTCGAGCACTGGCCCCGCCCACCCCGCTCGGCCCCGCCTCCCCTGGTCTCCCCTTGAGCTCCTGCCCCGCCCGGGACCCCGCTCGGCCCCGCCTCCCCTGGTCTCCCCTTGAGCGCAGACCCCTACCTCCCCGCTCGGCCCCGCCCTCCCCCGCTCGGCCCCGCCTCCCCTGGTCTCCCCTTGAGCTCCTGCCCCGCCCACCCCGCCTGGCCCCGCCTCCCCTGGTCTCCCCTCGAGCTCCTGCCCCGCCCACCCCGCTCGGCCCCGCCTCCCCTGGTCTCCCCTCGAGCACCGGCCCCGCCCACCCCGCTCGGCCCCGCCTCCCCTGGTCTCCCCTCGAGCACCGGCCCCGCCCACCCCGCTCGGCCCCGCCTCCCCTGGTCTCCCCTCGAGCACCGGCCCCGCCCACCCCGCTCGGCCCCGCCTCCCCTGGTCTCCCCTCGAGCACCGAGCACCGGCCCCGCCCACCCCGCTCGGCCCCGCCTCCCCTGGTCTCCCCTCGAGCACCGGCCCCGCCCACCCCGCTCGGCCCCGCCTCCCCTGGTCTCCCCTCGAGCACCGGCCCCGCCCGCCCCGCCCTCCCCTGAGCTCGGGCCAGGCCCGCGGGCGGCGCAGCATCACCCGCTGCCGGTTGCTCTAGGCCCATCCCCTCGGCCTCTGGCCGCGCCCCGCCAGGGGACCGGGGTAACTTAGGTGCTTACTCTGCGGACAGCACCCTGCGGGAAAGCCCGCAACCTCCCTTGACCTTTATATTCACCTCGCTGCCTAAATTCCGAGGAAACGATGAAAAGAGGAAAAGCCAGTTATTCTGAGAAGCAGCTGATCGCCTTAAGGACTAGTGTAGGAGTCCAGCCGATCTTCTCCGATACTTCGGGAGGAAAATTGCCTGCGTCAAGTGGACGAACAGGGACCACACCTTGAGCGCTTGTGTGCAAAGTTATCTTTGGGGGAATAAAACGGCCCCAAGCATCTGTGCAAGGCCAGAGCATTCCTTCCTTCTGGACTGTCCACCGAATAGTGGTGTGCCGGGCACTTTGATGCTGCCCTGAGCATGGTTTTTTTTTGGGGGGGGGGGTGTTCCATCTTCTGGCATCATTTCTAAAGAGTCCTAATTGGAACAGAGATCCTGGAAAATCTCATATATTATAGACCATCTTATTTTTTGATTAAATAGTGTAACCCAACTAGTCGTGGTTGAACTTTAAAACAAAGTCATTATTACAGAAAGAAAACAACTTACTTGTGAATACTTAGATATTGTGGGTCTCGAGAGGCTATCATGGAGGGAGCAATTCTTTTCCCAAATATGTAAAATGATCACATTTTGAAGGAAGAGAAAAAAAAAGAGTGTTATTTCTACTGTTCTAGGAAATCAGTATTTACTAGATGATGAGACAGTAGCCGACTGAACGTTTTGCTAACGTGGGAAATTTTAGGATGATCCTGATGGGTGATCGTATATGTATTTTAAAATTCTGTGTTAAGAACCTGAATTTTATCTAGCTTCTTTCTAGAAGTTTTAAATAATTTTTTTTCTCATCCTCTCTTTTATAGGAATTCTGCTTGGACTCAGTACAGTATTAGCACAGAAAGATTTTCACTAAGATGTAATCTAGATTCAAAGGAATGATTTTCCCGCAATAATCCAAACACACTCAAAACATTTTCAATTCTCACTTAGCCAATAGCTGTGAAAAAGAGCGCTTGCTGGCAATTACAATGCAAAACCACCCACAACTACTTCGAAGACCTTTACCTCCCAAACTCCCCAAACTGCCTTTAAGTAAGAAGAAAGTCCCTACAGGTATGTGTAATTAATCAGATATGTTATTAGGTTTACTTATTTTTTCATAGGAATTTCTCAACCTGCACAGTTCAGAATCACAATCGTGAAAAAGACCCACACTAATAACCGGTAATGTTACAAATGTTTGTTGGGGGTGCTAACCTCCGATTCAGTTCTACAGGTACAGTTCAGTTGATCCTCATTGTCTATGGATCCTATAGGTGCAGGTTTACCTAACTGCTCAAATGATTTCTAACCCCCAAAGCGGTACCGTTTGCTGGACTTTGTCTTTCTAACTCAAGGATAGATCAGAAACAACACTTCAGAGCCCTAGAGAGAGTTCTTTCTCCTTTTTTTTTATAATAGATGAGACTGTCAGGAGGAGAGTCTTACACATGGTGACTCTCGGTCATTAGTGGGTGCGTATGTTCTGGGTGGCGAAGACCCAGATTCCCAGCTGATGGCCAGGGAGGGATGTGCGCTGCCTTCTTGTTTCAGCTCTCATCCTGTAAACAACAGCCCTTGGCTCCGTCTGTCTTCATTCTTTTTTCTCAGTGCCACATTTTTAAAATGTTTGTGCTTTTCGTTGGTGTTTCTGCTGTCTAAAACAGTGCTCAAGGGCTATCTGGTATTCCCAAGCAGCAGAAGACTGTGCTGTGACTTACCGACGAGAACATAGGTGTTGGTTAAGCTTCCTTCAGGCATGAGTTACAGTGCTGTTGGCTGTTTGTTCAGTATTAATGAATCAACGATATATATTAAAGTGTCTTTAAATAGAAATACATATAAAAGATTATGTATTGATTGGTTGCTGATTCTGTTGAGACCAAAGGCTTAGAGGAAACGAACCCTATTAGTTTCCAATTTTTCCTAGAAGCCATGGCTCAGTATTGGATAATTTCAGTGCTCACATATTTTTATAGAACAGAACTGTCACGGAAAAAAAGAATTGACCATATTTCTGAGCCCAGTGGTAAGAATAGGGGGCGGGGGTGTAATAGTAGGCAAAAGAGAGCTTATCCATCCTTTTCTTTGGTTATCCTCTGGTTGGATCAAATAATCATATAAGTAAATGTAGAATTACCCTGTGATAAGTGCTATGAAGTGAAGATAAATAAATCTCCTCTTGAAGAACTAAAACTTTATATCCTACCCTTAATCCTTTATTTCTGTATGTGGTATTTATTGACTCCTTACTTAGAGCAATGATAAAATTAGTATATTTCTACTTTCCCCTTTTCAATCTCCTCAACCACCTGATTTTATTTGCTTGTCTTTGTTATTTTATAATGTATTTCCTTATCTTAGTATCAACATTTATACTGTTAAATATGCCTAGCCTGTCACTTGATTTACAATGTTAAATTATTATCTTTGATTCATGGCTATTAAAGATGTATTCAACACACCTATCCCACCTCCAATTTCCTATCCCACTTCCCCTTTCAACTTTTTGTTATATCCTTTCTACATTTCTTTGGCATTCTGTATTTCTACATTTACCACCTGTTCTGTAAGAGTAATGCCCACAGTTATGTGGATTTAGTGCACACTACTAGTTCTTTTCTTGTAGTTTTTTTCATTCATCTTTTGGTTGAAGTTTATCTGGGAGTACAGAGTACAGGGCTGACAAATTCTTTGGGGCAAAGGGTAGGAGGGATGGGGGGACTGGGGCTCTCCTGCCTTTTGGCACCTCAGAGCTTCTATGACCTTGACTGTTATTAATCCTGTGTTCCCAAAGGTTCTTGGTAGAGTACTTTGCATATAGTAAGTGTTCAAAATATTTGTTGAATTCATTAACCTAAAATGACTCAAGTACAGTTTCTAAAAATGAATATTCAAACACTGAAATAAAACCCTGAAATATCTATAATCTGCATATGATGCTAGATGCCATGGGGAATTAATGATTTGAATGACTTGGCGCCTGCCTTTTAGGACATTTTAAGACCTTTAATCAAATTCTAAACACGAGATACACGTAAAATAAAATCCTTAAATAACAGTGTAAGGCAACATAGAATTTATATCCAATTAGTGGTACAGACAGTAGTAGTTCATAGACATGAGAGAGGACTGGGGCAGGAGTAGGGTTTGAACTAAGACTTGAGGAATTAGTAAGGGTGGAATGAAATATGTTTTATAGAGGAGACCTGTGTAGTTTTTGATGGCGGAGGAGAGTCTATTGGAAAAGGAGAAATTTAATACATTAGAAAAAAGAAAAAATCATGAGGGAAACATCAAAAACTAGGCATGTCTGGAATTGAGGAGACACAGATAGTATCTTCGTTGGGAGGATTTCCCTAAGCACCTCTTCTCCCTTCACAGAGTACTTTCCTTTGTGCTCCCATAGTATTCCGTGTTTACTCTTACTAAGCACTCATCATACCTGGTGTAACTGGTTACCTGCCTAGTTTCTATACCAAACTGTGATATATTTGATGGTAGTAAGGTTTGTGCTGTGTGATTGCACCGTCAGCACTGTGTGTACAGCTGGCACATGGTATGTGTTAAATGTGTATTGAATGAGAACAGTAGTGTGGGCTATATCAAGAAAGATGGATTGCATAAGGTTTGAGGCAGACTTTGAAAGAAGGAAATGATTTCGATTGGCTACTAAGAAAAAGTATTCCGCACACTGTGATCAACATAAGAAACGAAATTACAAATGGGGAGTTTGGGCTTTGTGATCATCAGTAATAATTAGAGTATTTGAAGGTTTCCATCGGAAATTAATGAATCGCTACCCAGCAAGGTTAGGTGAAGTGGACCCAATTCACATAGATTTTTATTCACCAAACTAAGATATCTGAATCATTACTGAGAAGATTCAGATGACTTGATGAAATGTTATCCAGCTGTATCAGAAAATCAAGGGTGAAGCTAAAGCGATGTAAACTAGGATGCTGGCTGTGAAAACTAGAAGGGAAATCTGGGTTTTTAAAAAATGTCACTTAACTATGAGAGAAGAGGTTTAAAATGCAATAGCCGGTGTGAAAGCATTTCATAAACTATAAAATCATTGTGTAGTTGTGAGATGTTATACTGCTTGTACTACATCTCGTGTGGCCTGCCATTATTTACTGACTTGCAGCAACCTGGAAAGTAAAAAATGCCCTAGAGTGGAAGTCTAGGGATCTGAATCCTGGTCTTAGCTCCAGCACTAATATGACACATGGCTTTAGGAAGTCATTCGATCAATAGGTCTTATCTTTCTACTCTGAAACAGTGGAACTTCATGAGGTTATTGAGTTTTCAATCCTTTTCTCCACTGTAAACCAAATGAAGATGGGACATGAGTCCATCAGAACAACAGCTCACTTCTTTATTGATTTTCATGGTAGAAAAGGACAGGGGAGTGGAGCAGGGGAGAAGAGGTAGGGAGTTAGAAGCTTTAGAACTGACGTATATAATTTGAGTGTAGTCTGGAGGTGATTAATTGACTATGTTAAACGTGAGGGCTGAGGAATCGGAAGTATAGGCAGATTGAAAAACAATCCCACAGAAATGATCAATGTCCTAATCTTTAGAACCTGTTAATGTTATCTTATACAGCAAAAAAAAAAAAAAAAAAAAAGGAAGAAAGAAAGAAAGAAAGGAAAGAAAGAAAGAAAGAAAGAAAGAAAGAAAGAAAGAAAGAAAGAAAGAAAATGTTCATGTGGGGTTACAGATATGATCAAGTTAAGGATCTTGTGATGAAAGATTATTTTGGATTATAAGGTGAACCCAAAATGCAATCACTTACATTCTTATAAGAGAGAGGCAGAGAGAGATTACACAGAGAGAAGAAAATGTGATATGAAGATGGAGCAAAGAGAGATTGGAAGATGCTGGCCTTGAAGATAAGTGTGATGTGGCCACGAGCCATGGAGTGCTGGCAGCCACCAGAAGCTGGAAGAAGCAAGGAATGGATTCTCTACAAGAGAGTTCAGAGGAAATATGGCCCTGCTGACACCTTGAGTTTTGGTTCAGTGGTACAATTTTGGTTTCTGGCCTCCAGAAGTGTGAGAGAATACATTTCTGTTGTGTTAAGCCACCAAGTTTGTGGTAATTTGTTACAGCAGCCAGCAGAAGCTAATACAAGAAAAATCCAACATTCCAGTGTGTGTGTGTGTGTGTACACATCTGTGTGACTAGATATCAGATATATCTCTAAACTGCTGATGAGTTTTGTATAGACATAGTAAGTCTGAGATGCTTAGGGCTTCCAGACCAGACTTAGAATTTTTATTGTATATGGAAAATTAGTTAAAGTGAGAGGAGGGATAATGTTAGAACCTTTGGGAATACCAAATGGTAAATTGAGAAAGAAGGATTTGTCTAGAGAAATATAAATGGCCAGGTGGCATTAGTGAAGAAATGATGGTGTTCTCATGATAGCCAAGGAAAGAGTGAATTTCATGGAAAAGAGAGTGAATTAAAGGGTCAGATGCTAAAAAGATGTCAAATAACGTAACTAAAAATGTGTATCTGTTAGGTTTAACAACCAGATTATCAATAATTATTTTGTCGTAACAGCTTTAGTAGTAGAGAGAGAAAGTTCCAGGTCATAATGGTTTGAAAAGCAAGTGAGAGGAAACTTTGAAAGGACAATAGAATAAGCTTTTTATTATAAATTAAATATCCTTTCTAAATGAGCACATCAAACTTAAGTTTTCTTGTTTATTTTTATTTTTTGCATGTCAAGATAGCTGGAATTTAAAGTATTAATATCAACCAATAAAGTATATACCAATTAAAAATAAAAGAAAGTTGGGCAGCCCTGGTGGCTCAGCAGTTTAGCGCTGCCTTCAGCCCAGGGCCTGATCCTGGAGACCCGGGTTCGAGTCCCACGTCGGGCTCCCTGCATGGAGCCTGCTTCTCCCTCTGCCTGTGTCTCTGCCTCTATCTCTCTCTCTCTTAGGAATAAATAAATAAAATATTTTTAAAAAATAATAAAAGAAAGTAGACTTAGATTGTGAATATAGATCGAAAACTTAAGGGAAACCACTTAACATTTTTTAAAGAGAAGTATCATTGATATGCTAAGAGAGAAACTGAGAAACTGAAGGAGAGAAACTGAATCATAAAATGCTCAACTGAAATCAGAAAAAGAAGAAAAGGAAGGGAATATTTTTAAAAATATTTTATTTATTTATTCATGAGAGACACAGAGAGAGAGGCAGGGACACAGGCAGAGGGAGAAGCAGGCTTCCTGTGGGGAGCCTGATGCGGGACTCAATCCCAGGACCCTGGGATCATGACCTGAGCCGAAGGCAGACACTCAACCGCTGAGCCACCCAGGCATCCCAGGAAGAGAAATTTTTAAAAAAGAAAAAAAACAAGCAGCAAAACAATAGCAATGAATAGAAAACTTTATAAATGTGTCAGATATTAAGCCAATAATGTCCATAATTCATTAAAAATGAACGGTCCAAGGATACCAATTAAAAGACAAATTGTTACAGCCAATAAAAAACAAACCCAGGGGTGCCTGACTATATATATATATATATATATATATATATTTATTTATATATTTATTTATTTATTTAATCATTCAGAAGGCAATCTAGATGAACCCTAGAAGCAGAATGCCAATGCTGATGGATGCTTTCATGGGCACATTTCCATGAATAATACAAATTCATTAAAAAATGAATAATTATAATGAAATCATAGCACCCTCAACATGAATTTTCACAAGTATCCAAAAGGCAAAACAATACTACAGTAAAAAAAAAAAAATCAGTGGTTGCCAGAAGTTTGTTCAGGGAGAGGAAGACTGTTGAATAGCTAAAGCACAGGGGAATTTTAAGACGGTGAAATTAGTTTTTATGTTATTGTACTAGTGGATGCATGGCATCACACATTTGGCAAAATCTGTGGAACTGTACAACGCAGAGAACGAACCCTAATGTAAACTATGAACTTTAATTCTCAACATTGGTTCATCAATTGTAATAAATGTACTACGCTAATGCGAGATGTTAATAATAGATAAAACTGTGTGCAGGGGAAGGGAATGTACGGGAACTATACTCTTGCTCAAGGTTTTTTTTTTATATCTGAAACTGTTCTAAAAATAAAGTCCATTGATTTAATTAAAAGTTAGATTAAAGTGACACAACAAACAGAACAGAGATGGGTGGAGAAACACATCAAATTGAGTGTAAATTAGTTTGCCATTGAAGAGAAGGATAAACATGGTGAGATGGTGCGTTGGAAGGAGTTCTGGAGTTTGTTGAGGATTTTGCTTGTGTTATTTTGTTTTAATATGGAAGAGAGAAAAAAAGGTGAAAATGGTGTAACCATGCTATTGAAGAAGTCAGTTTTTATTAGTTCCATATAAACAGGAAGCAAACATTCTCCTTCTCCTCTTACTGCCCTTCAAACTCACAAGGCACACACCTCGCTCTTCCAAGGCTTTTCTCATCACTTTCAGCTATTAGCCTTGTTTCATTTTTAGACATTAAACAAATAGTTCAATCCAAATTGTTATTTTTATTTAGCATGCAGCCAAGCCCTGCCCCTTCTCCCAGGTCAGACTAGGTCTGCTAATTGTTAGATGAGTCAAAGGGAACAGGGGGATGATGAGTTCTTACACTTGGTTCTTTACTTCTTTTTCCCAACTTACACTGTAGTTTCTGTTTCTCTGTCGGTGGGGCTAAGGGTGAGAAAGAGTGAAGTGAAGGTGAGAATCCAGACAGTAGTCTCTGGACCCCCTGAAGTGCCAGGAGATGCAGATCAAGTAGTTTCAAGGATTCTCTTGCCTTGCTCCAACCGAAACACTGCACTGAAGGGCCTAAGAGAGTTTTTTTGTTTTTTGTTTTTTTTGCTGCTCTGGAGGTATTAGTGGGGGACGTGAGTAGGGGAGATGGTGGTCTCCCCAGTTTAAAGGTGGTCTCTCCTTGTGACATACACTCCTCTTCTCTATGAATGGTTCTCTGAGATCTCCCCTGACATGATTTGAGGTGGAGGAAAGATCATCCTCTTGCACCCACCACAGGGAGGGGAAAGTTGGGGAAACACAGAGCACTCCAACAGCTCTATTCAGGAGAATGCCTCTCTCTGAACTCAGGCCAGTCTCTAGCCATCTCTTATATGTAGACCTCAGAAGGGTGGGAGTCAGGTTTACTTTGACCATCTCTTTGCAAGCCTTGCCTCCATGAGGCTGTTATCCCTCCCTTAGAATGTAGAGGTCCTCATCATTTATTGTACTCAACTGAGACAATGGGGAAAAAGTCACGTAACATTCAGTCACAGGGGAAAGAGAGAGCATATATGGTGTAGTGAGGTATCTAAGATGCAGGCACAGAGCATTTTTCGGACCTAAGAGAGAATAGAACATTTATCATTGCAACCCAACTGAACTTTAGTACCTTACAGCCAGTATCAGGATGTTACCATGTTCAGACATTTGGTCTGGCATTTGGCACTGAGAAGAAATGTAAGTCTTTGCCGAAAAAAGTTTCAAATGAGGAAGAGATAATGATAAATGATGAATAACAAAACTTCATCCAGAGCCTTTTGGCGCTTCTGTATATCCAGTTTTATTAGCAACTGCTCAAAAAACTCCCTTACTAGCCTACTCTTCTATCAATTCTCTTCATCCAAGAGTTGCTCCCTACCCTTTCTAAATCTTTTGAAACAATCTAGTCTTTCCAATTCTCCAACTGATCACTCACACTTTACCGCAGTCAGCTAAACAGAAGTCCTGATAGCTGAACAGCCATATACAGAAATTTTTAGAAGGTGAAAGAGGATGAGTAAATACAGAAAAGCTATGGATGCTAAGACATTAATAGTTTTGTTCCCGATGCCTTGATAAATATGAACTAATTGTGCTTTTTCAAAAAAATTTTTTTCTTGTTTAGCCAAGACTGGTAAAACTGAGCCAAAACATGTAAAGTTCACTCATGATGAAACCACTTTAATTCAAAGAAGGAAAACTAGTTTTCCTGATGCTGTTTCAGGAGATCAATCACAAGCCCTTGTCAACGTCCAAAATCTCTTTCTCGATCATTATATACAAGAAAGAGTGACTACTATTTCAATATCCAGGAAATCCAATAAGAGTGCCTCCTGGCACATTCCAGAGACTGCTACTGGTTCCATATTCTTTCCAAGCTCTCATTCAGCCTCAAGTCGAATTTTTGGGAAAGAAACAAGCCAAATGAAAATTTCAAGAAAATCAAAAGAAGCAGCATCAAAAATTACAAATATTTATTTTGGTGACATGTTCAAAGACATTCTGATTCTCTCCGGACCTTCAAGCACCACTTCTCAAGCTATTACTCCCAAACACAAGAAAGTTGGCTCTGAGTATCTACTATCATCAAAGGATAAAATCTGTACTTTTAAGCAACAACTGGTAGGTCCACGTGCAACAGTGCCAAGCCCTGTACCAAGAATTATGCGTGTTAAAGCTGAAAGATGGTGGTCTCCCCAGTTTAAAGAAAAAACTGCTGTGATACTAAGTATTACTCATTTTCCAGGTCTCATCTCCATACCATCACCAGTATTGCCAAGAAAACCTCACAGACAGTCTTTGTTAGGTAAGTCCATTCTGAACATGGTTTCTAATAACGGGGTGAAGTAGAGCAAAAGGGAGAGAAGGCACACAGCAAAGGGTGGTTATCCCTTGGGTTTGCAGGTTGGGATGTTGGGATCACTTTTTGCCTACATATCCAATATATGAGCCACAATGCAATAACAGAAGTACTGACCTTTCAAGTCTCCCAAGGTCAAGTTGGGTGCTCTACCCAGATGGTGGTAGTGGGAAACAGATGAGCAAGTTCAAAGGATCAGAAAAGTCAATATAAAAGAGCAGTGAGAATGAACGGTCATTCAGAAGGTAATCTAGGTGAACTCTAGAAGCAGAATGCCAGTGCTGTTGGATGTCTTCATGGACACATTTCCGTGAATAATACAAATTCATTAAAAGATGAATAATTACAATGAAATCATAAGCACCTGCAATATGAATTTCCACAAGTATCCAAAAGAGGTTTCGTTTTTTTTCTTTTTTTTCTAGAAACTCAAGTAACAGAGTCTGAAAATCTAGAAAGTGCTCCAAGGCAAATCACGCCAAGCCTTTCTGAAGGTAAATGCTATATCATACTTTAAAAAACTGTATATAAGTTTATCTCTCTATAAAAATATTCGTGATTTTGTGTGTTGGTGTATGCATGCGTGATTCACATATGTGTCTCACCTTATTTTCAGCTCTTTAAGCAAATTAACTCAGCAAATATTTTTTTAAACATTGACTATAGGGGATCCCTGGGTGGCTCAGCGGTTTAGTGCCTGCCTTTGGCCCAGGGCGCGATCCTGGGGTCCCGGGATCGAGTCCCATGTCGGGCTCCTGGCGTGGAGCCTGCTTCTCCCTCCTCCTGTGTCTCTGCCTCTCTCTAGAGAGGCATGTGTCTATCATGAATAAATAAATATTAAAAAAAAAACATTGACTATAAACCAAACTTTGTACTGACGTTGGGAACATAAAAGCTGAAGTATTCTTAATCTGGGTGGGGCAGATAAACATGAAATAATGAAAGTTATTATTTCCATGTGCCAGACACTGTTAAGTGCTTTGACTTTAGTTACCAGGGGAAAAAAGTGAAAAGTCATCTTTAAAGAAAACTGTGTCATCCTAGACTCACATTATTTCTACAAATAATTTCACCAATACAGTATGTAGTAAACAATTCACAATCGTGTGGCAGACAAAAAGAGAGACGAAATGAATGAAAACCAGCAGAAAACTAAGCAGTAAAATCATACCTACAGGAGATCCAGGTGTTACAATAATCAGATACAGATTTTAAAATAACTTCAAGACTTTTGGTCTATGATTGAGTAGCTTGTATTGAAGGGAGGACAAACCCTCCCACCAAAATCAACAATTAAAGCTGCCCAGAGTATATAAAATAGCTATTGAAGGTATTGGAGAGTAACTATTGTAGGCCTGACTTGAGTGGCTACAATCTTTGAAATATGGAAGCTCATGAGTTAGCTCTACATTTACCTTGGCTTTTGCCTGAGGTCATTTGTGGTGTTAGAGAACAGAGCACAAGTAGGAAGTGGTAGTATTACTGAGTTGAGGAGATAGCCATCAGACTCAGAGCTGTCCATATAACTGGGTTTTGAGATGCAAAATCTCAGATAGGAGAGAGGTGAATCCAAATATCTGCATGCATATCTGCTGATTTCTAAGCTGTGCATGTGCAGGATAATACTCTAAGAAGCAGCAGAAAACATCAGCTGAGATACTAAGGAAGTGAACGTATAATTTCATAGTTGCATGGAAGACAGTTACTGGAATTACATCTCTGCCAAAATTAGAGACCTTGTAAACACACTGGGCTTTTAGTTGAAGATCCAGAGGAAGCATGTCTTAGAAATAAGGATGATGTTTTAGAAAAAAAGCACAAAACTAAAATAGATTATCCCTAACAAAGCTCAAAACCAATCCTTAGTGAATCAAAGTGATACTTTTTGCCTAATCAGTGAAAATTTAACCCTTGTTGGAGAGACATAGCGTTATCCAAATCCTTTAAAATTTTCATCCACAATGTCCAGCATTAAATTTAAGAAATCCCGAGGCATCCTAAAAACAGTACAAAAAATCAGTATAAAGGAACAGACAGTGGACACAGACCCATAGAATCGTTTCCTGAAGTTTTTGAAGAAAGATTTTAAAATAATTGTGACTATTTCATTTAAGAAAATAAAGAATAAGTTAGAGAATTTCACCAGAGAACTAGAATTTTTGTTTTTAAAAACAGGAGCCAGATAAAACTCTAAAACAGAAAAAATATTATAACTAATAATAATTCAATTAAAGATTAAACATAGAACACTCCAACTACAGAACCCTCTCTTTTTTTCCAGTTTTACTTATTGTGAAATGATTGCCACATTAGATTAATATCTATCACCACACACAGTTACCATTTTTTCTTGTTATGAGAACTTTTAAGATTTCAAATATACAGTACAGTTTTGCTAACTATGGCAACCATAGGACTCTCTGAGCCCACTAGCCTCCCATTAGTTCTGTATTATTGTCTGTGACATAAATTAACTTCTGGGTCACATCATAAGCTGAAACAAGTCATGCTGCCATTTCTGATTTATCGAGTTTGTTCCACTCTGGTGGTTCCATCTTTGAAAAGTTTCAGGTGAGTTTAAGGGTCTTCACCCTTTAGAGAGGAAGAAGGAATTTGTACTTACCTCTCTACCTCCACTTCCTTCATTTTCATTCAAAATCCAACTGCTTGTGCTTAATCCATAAGGATAAGTGAGCTGGGAGCAGGCCACAGACTTAGGTCTTAATTCATACTCCTTTTTGCTCTACTCTCTCTCCCAAAACTAGGGCTCTCTATATCATATCACATATCTTTCTGCTGCACTTAACTTTCACATCAATTGATCTGAAATGGGCACACAGGCCTATTTTAGAAGCTAGAAATTGAACATTGTTTTTTTTGGCCTAGGATGCATTATTTCCTTTCATTGAAGCAGTGGCAGTATAAGAATTACTGAAATTGTAAAATATGTTGCTGCAAATAATGCAGCAAGAATGGCTGTGAATATACAATTTTTTACAAAATTTCAAAATATTTTTCTGCTGCACTTCAGTGTATCCTTGGATAGGTCATTTTTTATAGAAGGTGATAGACCCCACAAGGTCATGATAAAGTAAATTTAGATGATCCCTGGCTAACTTCTGAGTTGCTTGGATTTTTTTCTTGTGTGATCTTCAAACTGAGTGAAGAAAGCTGAATTACATAAGGCACTGGAAACATGCATCAAGATGATCTTAGGAGAAAAAGTAAGGTTCTTCCTTGGGAGGTGATCTCTATCTGACATATGATTAAATGATGTCCATTATTAGTTTTATGAAGCAAAAAGTTGTCTATGTAAATTACTAATAAAATTTTTAAAAATATCTTTGCATATAACACAAAAAGACTGAGATTGATGGAATCAATAGAAATAGACAGAAATAGAAATCAATAGAAATAGAAATCTATAAGCATATGGTTTTCTTCTTGAACAACAATTGTACTAATATTTGAAAAAAAGAAAAACACACAACACTACCCAGTTTAGTAACCAGCTGAGATTGGGTGCATGAAGGTCATGAGGAATCTCTTCCAGATGATTTACACAGCTAACCTATTTATGATGACTCATTGTTACTATAACATAAATACCTTTTAACTTTCATTCTAAGTGCTAACATTTAAGTCTCATATTTTCTTATTTTATTTAGGTATCATTAAGTCTAAAAACCAGGAAGACTCACAGGCACATGTTATACATGGTGGAGGTCTTAAGACTATTAATGTAACACGATATGAAACTATAATAACCATGACCAACTTTGCCATAGTAAACTGTCAAATATATGGAAGAAATGCACTTAAACTTAAGGTATGCTAGATTTTTTAATGGGAACTTCTTTTTGTATTATCAATTATTTTTGCTTTAGGTTTCTTAACTTAGGTTACTTTCCCTGTGATTGAAGGGATCTTTCCTGTTGCAATGGAGATTTTCCAGAAACACATTCAGATTTATCTCTAAACCTATGTCATAGTTTTCCTTCATTCCAATTTCTTAAAATGTTAAGATCTAAAGCATTTATAGTGTTTTTTCATTATCCACCATGATAAGAAAAGTGGGATTCAGAATTATCACATTTTAAGGTTAACCGCAATCTTTGGCCCTTATGCCAAATCTAGCAATAGGCTGGCTTTTCACTGAATGCAGGTCTGTTGAATAGCAATGATAATAGTTACCATATATTAAGCACCCACTATGTGCAAAGCAAACATTACTCTTAAAATTTATAATTCAACAAAATAAGTATTATAATCTTCATTTTACAGATAGGAGCACTAAAAAGCCCAATGAAAGTAACTTATGAAAGACCATAGAGCAAACAAGTAGTAGAGCTTAAGTTTGAAGCCAGGACTCTTTGATCTCAAAATCTATGCTTTTTAATTTTAATTTTTATTTTGAAATAAGTTCAAACTTGTAAAAAAATTGCAAAAATAGGAAAATCTACAAGAGTTTCTTGAGCATTCAAAAATGCTACACATATTGGGGAATTTAGAAAGCTATGTGCATGGCCAGTGCCGGATACATTCTTAGAAGAGACCCAAGAAGACCCCGAGCTTTCATTACCTTTTAATGTTCTGGCTAAACATTGAAAGGGTGCCTCCACATAGACTAGAGCCAATATGAAGAGATTAGAAGAAATATTATATCTCTTTCTCATTCCAGTCCTATTGGACAAGGAAATCTCCGTCAAAACACTAACCAAGCACAAGCTAAAGGAGCAGAGATTTCTTTCTTTCTTTTTTTTTTTTTAAGATTTTATTTATTCATTGGAGACAATGAGAGAGAGACAGAGACACAGGCAGAGGGAAAAGCAGGCTCCATGCAAGGAGCCCGATCTGGGACTCGATCCCGAATCCCGGGATCATGCCTTGAGCCGAAGGCAGACGCCCAACCGCTGAGCTACCCAGCTGTCCATGGAGCAGAGATTTCAAAGACAACATGTGAAAATGTAAAGACTTAACAAAAACAATTTAGAAAAAGCACTAAACCAACAACTACAGCCCACAGCAAGCAACAAAAATAAACCCTGGAGAGGGGGATATTATGGCTTTTGGAGTTACCACATAATAATATTCAAAGTGTTCAGTTTTCAATAAAAAATATGGAACATGTGAAGAAACAAGAAATATGGCCCAATCACAGCAGAAATTAATAGAAACTGACTCTGAGGAAGCACAGACATTGGACTTACTAGAAAAAAAAACCCTTTAAATCCACTGTCTTAAAAATTCTGAAGTAGCTAAAAAAAAAAAAAAAAACCCAGAAGAATATTGTGTGAGTAGACATTTATCAATAAAGAGATAGACATTACAAAAGGGAACCTAAAAGAGCTGAAAAATACAATAACCAAAACAAAAAACTCATTGGAAGTTTTCAATATTAGGTTTGAGCAGGAGAAGAAAGAATCAGAGAACTGGAAGATAGGTCAACTGAAATCATCAGTTTGATGAAGAGAAGAGGAAGAGGAAGAGGAAGAAGAAGAAAGAAGAAGAAGAAGAAGAAGAAATAGAAGAAGAAGAAGGGGAAGAAAAATGAACAAAGGCTAAGAGACCAGTAAGACGCCATCACGTGTACCAAATATAGATACTAGAAGTCCTAGAAAAAAAGGAGAAAGAAAAGCACAGAAGGAATATTTGAAGAAATAATGGCCAAAATTCCCCCAAATTTGATTAAAGCTACAAATCTACAGATCCAAGAAGCTTAACAGATTCCAAGAAGGAAGGAATGTCTGGGCGGCTCAGCAGTTTTAGCACCTGCCTTCGGCCGAGGGCCTAATCCTGGAGTTCTGGGATAGCGTACAGCATCGAGCTCCCTGCATGGGGCCTGCTTCTCCCTCTGCCTGTATCTCTGCCTCTCTCTCTGTCTGTCATGAATAAATAAAATCTTAAAAAAAAATTCCAAGAGGGATAAACACAAAGAGATTCACACTGAGACAGATTACAATCAAATTGTCAAAAGCTAGAGAAAAATCTTAAGAATAGCAAGAGAGGAATGATTTGTCATGCATAAGGGTTCCTCAAACTTAATAACCAATTTGTCATCAGAAACCATGTAAGCCAGAAAGTAATGGGATGACATCTTTAAAGTGATGAAAGAAAATCAATCTCTCAACCAAGAATCCTATATCCAGCAAAACTACTTTTCAAAAAACAAATAAGAAATTAAGATGTTTTAAGGAACCAAAAGCTGAGGGAATTTGTTATTAGTGCACCTATTCCATATGAAATACCGAAGAGAGGGATCCCTGGGTGGCGCAGCGGTTTGGCGCCTGCCTTTGGCCCAGGGCGCGATCCTAGAGACCCGGGATCGAATCCCACGTCAGGCTCCCGGTGTATGGAGCCTGCTTCTCCCTCTGCCTGTGTCTCTGCCTCTCTCTCTCACTGTGTGCCTATCATAAATAAATAAAACAAAACAAAATTAAAAAAAAAAAAAAGAAATACCGAAGAGAGTTCTTCAGGTTGCAATGAAAAGACGTTAGACAGCAACTCAAAACCTTAGAAAGAAAAAAAGGAATTTGGTAAAGGTAACTACATAGGTATATATATAAAGCCCAGTACTATTCTATTTTTGGTTTGCAGCACTTCTTTTTATTTCCTATATGATTTAAGAGACAAATGCCTAAAACAATAATTATAAATCTATGTTAAGGGACACACAATGTACAAAAATGATATTTTTGACAAAACATCATGAAGTAGGGCAGGGGTAGAGTTGTATAGGAGCAAAGACTTTATGTGCTACGGAAGTTAACTTGGCATCAATCCAAACTAGATTGTTATAAATTTGAGATGCCAACTGTAATCTCCATGGTAACGACTACTAAGAAACTATCTTAAACATGTACATAAACGAGAATGAGAAGAGAATCAATATGACAGATTGAAAAATAATTAATTGCCAAGAAGGCAGTAATCAAAGAACAACAATAAAAAAACATTCTGGAAAAGGCAAAACTATGGAGACCATAAAAATAGCAGTGGTTGCTATTTTTAAAGAAAAATGAACACCTATACTTCACAAACTCTTCCAGAAAATAAGAAGAGGGAAAACCTCTATTAGTATTCTGAACCCAGTTCCACCACGGTGGGGGGATAGTTTCCCCACACCACCAAGCGGTTCTCAGACACCAGCTGAGTGTCTTACCATTCAGCTCAATTCTGCCTAGAGATAACACCGGATTCCATGGGGGAAATGTTCAGTCCTACAAGACTGAACAATTCAGAATGCCAACTAGAAGCCCCGAATGTTACCTGCACTTCTGACCAATTGGCTATAAATTAGAAGTTCCCATGCCCCTCTCCCTGGGTTCAATTTATTTGCTAGAGTGGCTCACAGAACTCAGGAATTCCACTTACTTACTAAATAACTGGCTTATTACAAAGGATATTAAAGGAATTAAAGGATATGAATCAACAGTCTGATAAAGAGATACATAGGACAAGGTGTGGAAAAGGGTATGGAGCTTTCATGCCCTTTCCAGGCACAGCTTTCCCCAAATCTCCACATATTTGTCCCTGGACACTCTCCAAATTACGTCCTCTTGGTTTTTACAGGGTCTTTATTAAGTTGGCATAATTGATTAAACCATTGGCCTTTGGTGATTGAGCTCAATCTCCCAACACCTCTCCCCTCTCTGAAGGAGGGGAGTTGGTGAGGCAGAAAGTGCCAACCCTCTAATCATATGGTTGGTTCCCTTGGAAACTAGCCTCCATCCTTCAGTGCTTTCCAAAAGTCACCTCATTACCATAAACCCAGTTGTAGTAGAAAGAAGCATGGTGTGAATAACAAGACCTGCATTTCACCTTTACAGTTCTGAAGTGATTTCAGGAACTGAGGACAGGGATTTACAAATATAACAAAAGATGTTCCCATTGCTCTCATGATTCCAGAAATTTCAAGAATTTGGGGTACCCACTATTTGCTTCGATGTGGAGGGACCTGGAGGGTATTGTGCTGAGTGAAATAAGTCCATCGGTAAAGGACAAATATTATATGGTCTCATTCATTTGGGGAATATAAAAATTAGTGAAAGGGAATAAAAGGAAAGAAGAGAAAATGAGTGAAAATATCAGTGAGGGTGACAAAACATGACAGACACCTAACTCTGGGAAATGAACAAGGGGTAGTGGAAGGGGAAGTGGGCGGGGGTGGGGTGGGGTAACTGGGTGATGGGCACTGAGGGGGGCACTTGGCGGGATGAGCACTGGGTGTTATGCTATATGTTGGCAAATTGAGCTCCAATAAAAAAATAAAATAAAATTAATTAATTAATTAATTAAAAAAGAATTTGGGGTACCTGTGGGCTAGGAACTTTGAATGAAGCCCAAATACATATGAGAGATATATTTTGGTCACCTGAGTGACCAAATACATATTTTTTAAAATTAGAATATCACAATCTCTAACACATTCTATGCTGTCAATATAACCTGGGTGCCAGAGGAACAAAAGACACCACAAGAAAACCACAGACCAACACCCCTTATGAATATAGATAAAAATCCTCAGCAAAATACTAACTAACGGAGTCCAAAAAATTAAAAGGATTATACATAATAACATAGTGACATTTATTTTTGAAATAAAAAGATGGTTCAACATCAGAAAACCAGTCAATATGCATTAATGCATAGAGGGGGAAAACCTAATCATCTTAATTGATGCAGAAAAGGCATTTGACAAGACTGGTTCTTTAAAAGGATTAATGAAATTTCTAAATCCATAATGTGATTGGTTAAGGAAAAAAAGAAAGAAAACTCTAAGTGCCGAATTCAAAATAAAAAAAGGAGAAATCACCACATGTCTCCCAG